ACAATGAATAATATATTTGATAGTGTGAAATATTCCCATGTTATCAATTAAAAGTCAATCTGAACGAAGAATATTCTTTTCAATAATTTCCCCTCTTCAGATTCTTACAGTTATAAAATATAATATTTGTGGTCGTTACAATAAAGGCCAGTTACGCGGCGGATGCATTTTTAACGTAGAATAGCTGATTAGTTATGCGGTGTCAAAATAAATAGTCATATTTGTGTGACAAACGTGCTAGGCTGAAATCGATTAGAAGTATTGTAAAACGGGAGACAATGGTGGTGATTAATCATATAGAATTGTAGAGTGTGGGGTAGGAAAATTGACAAATCAGTTCAAGGTTATAAAAGGTATCAGGTGAGTGGCTAGTACAAATTGGTCTGAGTTAAACAGGAGATAGTGAGACTACAATGAGAGGTTCATGGTTAGATAACGAATATGTTAAATGAAACAAGTGGAGGCATATATTGAGAAAACAGATAATATAAGTCCTGATAAGTCCGTATAAATGAAAAATTCGATAGTATTGAGGGAATGTTTGCATGAAGGGCATAAATTATGACGAATAATAATAACTGAAATAATAATATTTATAATTATAGGCAAAGTAAAAAAAAACCAAGAGGGTTAAGAGGAAGGAGTACTCTTGGTGAGAAGAAAAATCTTCAATCCAAGGTTGGCCACGGTAGGAACAGCGTCTGGACATGTTCTTTTTTTCCGATACAAAGTTCCGGTTTAGTCGATCTTATTGCAACAGCTTCAGCAATGTGTAGGAGACGTAAGCGAACTGTACGTGATGATGACTTCCGAATTCGGTACATAACCCTGAAAGCTGTGTTGACATCGATGCGATGTCCAGTATCGACCAAGTGTGACAGGATCGAGCTTTTTTATGCACTTAATTTCCCCCTGCTGAACCAAGTTGGTAAGTGTTCGCGAACCCGTAGACGAACCTGCCTAATCGTGTGCCCTATATAACTTGAACCACAGGAACAGTTGAAATGGTATATGCATGAAGAAGAGCTAAGGTTAGGTAAGGCATTTTTGAGTTGCTGGGTGAACATTGGACGGCTAGTGAAGGATAGACACAGACGTGCAGAGTAGAAAGTTTTCTTGATCGCCCTGGTTAAACGTTGGGATAGAATCTTCGCAGGAGTATCTCCCTTGAATTGGAGACGTAAAAACAGAGGCTTTTTCTCCACAGTTGTCAGTTCATGTTTACTACTAATGTAACCTATGTTGGCTTTAATGAACTTCTCTGGATGTCCATTCTCGCTTAGAATGTCTCGGATGATCTGGAGTTCTTTCTCTACGCACTCTTTGGAACAAATGGATCTCGCTCTAAATGCTAAACACCTGATTAGATTACGTTTGTATTTCATCGGTACGAAGCTAAGGAAATGTGTAAACTGAGCTTTGGTCTCTAGCTTTCTAAATATGGTTCTTTTGATGGAACCATCCTCTCTTCTCGTTAGTAGGACGTCGAGGAAGTGTAGAGAGTCGTTGTATTCTCATTCGTAGGTGAAATGGACCGCTGGGTGAGCATTATTGAAGTTGTTCAAAATCAAATCACTATTTAACCCTTCATCGTACACTACAAAAGTGTCATCCATGTAACGACAATACATTTCCATTTTCGCTATTTCCTCTTTCAACGGACTATTTTCTAGTTTTGCTAGAAATATATTCGCGAAAATAGGTCCCAGTGGGGATCCCATGGCTACTCCATCAACCTGTCTGTATATTTCATTATTAAATAGGAACTGAACATTCGTTGTGCATTTAACAAGTAGTTGTTTCCGATTACTGATAGGAATATCAGTGCACAATTTCTTTTCTATAATCTGTTCACAGATATAATCGATTGTTTCCACTAGAGGCACATTCATGAATAGAGATGAAACATCAAGTGATGCCATATATTTGCCAGTCGCGTTCAAGTTTTTTATCTTATCAACAAATTGAAAGGTATCCTTGACGCTGTGCTTTACTAACTCGTCATGCAAGGGTTGAAGCAGCTGTACCAGCCACTTTTCCGTCTCGTGATAGGGTGAATGGGACATGTCTAGTATGGGGCGTAGGGGCACTCCTGATTTATGCACTTTCGGTAAACCATACATGCGTGAGATGGTACTCCCTGTAGGTTTTATGTTTTCGAAAGTTTTTGGTGATAAATAGCCTTTACCCTTCAAATCCTTTAATAAGTTTGTTATTTCTCTCTCTATTTTCTCCGTATTATCTTTCATCGCTTTTGGCTTCTGAAACTTGCTTCGGTCAGCTAGTATGGAGTTCATCTTAATGATGTAGTCCTGCTTATCCATTATTACTATCCCCGGTCCCTTATCCGGTCTGGTAATAACTATGTTTTCATTTTGTAAGAACCTGAAAAGAAATTGTTGAAAAGAATATTCTTCGTTCAGACTGACTTTTATTTTATAGAATAATTAGACAAATAGGCTTCAAAACAAAAAAACAGGGTTGAGTATATCTATGTGTGTATAGAAACAAGGTTTTGTTAGAAAAAGCATAAAAAATAAAGTGGATTACGTAACTAAATAAAACGTCTTATCTAATAAGCAATAGAAAAAAAGAAAGAAAAGAAACAAGGTAGGGTGAGTCATGTTTAGATGAGAGAGTAGAGTTTTCTAAACATGAAAAAGGGTGACTCATAAAAATTGTATATATTTTTTGTTATCACCAGGGCAGTGCAAGATTCACCACTGTCTTTTCTGCGTACATAGATTTGGTGGTTAAAGTCGTTTGATGGCAATTGCTTCATCAAATCATAGCAAGCTAGGTTTCTTTTGCTTGTTGATTATTTTGAACAACTTCAGGTTGTCTACAATATGACCAGTGTCCAATGGATGACGGGCAATCGCATTGTTTAATGTTTTCGGACCTTTCAGTCTCAGGTTCTTTCGTATGTGTTCAGAAATGTATTCATGTTACTGCCAGAGATTAAACTCAGGAGCTTCAGGTAACTAGGCGTCTATCGAATATTACCATATTGGGTATGAATCCAAGAACTCATGAGTCCTAACTCCTATCGATTCAAAGTATAGCCTCCGTCTTGACGTAGTGGACCTCCTTCCTCAACTACTACTTCTCTATAGAAGTTTAAGATATTTTTAGTGTTGCTCTTCATGAGCTGGCGATTGTAGAAATATTGATTAATTCTCATTTGATCACGTACTAACGACAATTCGGGAATGAATACCGCCTAATTGGGTCGACCGTGTACACTTCTCAATGGTTTCAAACAAGATCAATGCAACTATCCAGTTCTTCATGGTTTTCAATGATCTCGCTAACTGATTTTGGTTCACATTGAAGTCTTAGTAAAATTTTATTCATATTCCTGAGGTACTTATAATCCAACTCATTTGTGCCTGCCATATTAACGTGCTAAATTTATAATAAGAATTCGTGGCGAGTGGGATACACCTATGTCAAGTGGACGTTTGTCAGTAGCATTGGCTAGTGGTAACGCTACATCTTGTCATGAATTCACAGGTTAGTGAATTTTGGCACAAGTGGCTAAATGGTGGACAGGATGACCTCGTAACCTAAAGGTAGCCGTTTCGATCCCAGTTGGATTCATGGATGAACATTGCTAATAAGTCCAGAACTAAGACGAAGCACCTCTCCGACAGCCTTTGTCTCTTTTGATGACTATTTCTCTGATTTTGCTCTTAAAGGTCAGATCCAAGAGCATCTGATTTATTTCAAGGTTGATCACAAATTGATAAGTGTTACAGAACTATTGAAAACCGGCAGGGGTACTCCCAGACAGCTGTTTCATCCTAGTTTTCGAGGCACATCGGCAGTAAGCAACCTCTAGGGTTCGTACACAGGACCTTCCCCTCACAAAGTGACCACGTGGACTATCCAGACACTGGGATCCGAGCCAATGAATGGTCCATGAATTCCAACTTCTGCTAATTCATGACATATAGAAGTTGGATTTCATAGGCTTGAGTCTGAGTTCCCTCAAGAATCAGAATCTCCTTATTTCGATCCCCAGTGGTTGTGTACTTTGAAGACTTTCAAACCGGGAAGAAACCGCTCTCCAGTACTCCAGTGGTGGTTTTCCAATGGTCCTCTAACTGATGTCAGCTAGTCAACAGACCTGTAATTAATATTTCCACTATAAAAATGTGATTCTCGTGTGAATTGACGTCCAGCTATATATAAAAATAAAACAGTTGCTTGACTTGTATAGATGAATCATCCAATCAAAAATGTCATAGTCACTCAATTCTACATTGAACACGTGTGTAGAGACAGGCACATACGCACCTCCGCCTGTCTATCTATCGATAGTTATCCCATACAATTAATGCAATAACAGGCAATTGTGATTAGTAGTAGTAGTGGTTACTTAAACATGCGTGTGTAGCTGTAGCTTATGTATGTATGCATGCATATCCATGTGGCGAGAACGTGAGATGTGGATAGAGTTGGGAAGAGAAAGGTCAACTGTTTTAATCCCTCAACCCACCCACCATCAACCATCCATCCATCACCACTCCATTCCTTCATACTGTCGGAAGTCATTCAGTATTTCCTCTTTCATTGTCTTCTACTTAAGTATCGCTTTACATACACGATCCGCACGCACCCACACACACATACACACACCTGCGTACACACACGTACAAATACACTAAAATGAAGTAAAGCATAAGCCAATTACAAAACAGTTAATACTGATGATGTTGATGAGATTAACATCAGAGAGATGGTGACGATAAAAATTTTTTTCTAATAAAAAAAAATCAACGTGATGACGACGATAACAACAACTGACGAGACAAAAAGGACGACGCGACACCAACGACGACAACGACAAAAATCATGATGTCTCTATTTCTGTAGTCATGTATGTATGCGCATGGGTGTGTCTGTCTACTATCGTAAGTAGCATGGAGGAAGTATCACATATTTTGTAAAGATCATCATGTGTACCTGTCTGTATTCTTTCTCTGAGTGTACGTGCGTGTATGTGTTTGTGTGCGTCCGTCGCGTGTCTATCTTTATGCTGACATGTGTAGACACGCACGCACATACAAGGGGAGACAGACAGATATTTGTAGTACATTTTGAAAATAATAAGAATGACTTTAGAAGAAGGATAATAATATGTGGTGCTGTTCTTCCCTGTGTGACACGCTCGCTGTATTACACACCCATATAAATATGCACAAATATACACGCAAATACACATGAACACAGAGAGTCACACATACGTAATGAAACATCTGTCATCAACAAACCTTTTATGTGTACATAACACACAGAAAATACCGTTTAGCCTTATACTACGATCACTAGTAAGACTACTTACTTATGTACATGGGATTAGATATTCACAGGAGGTATTGTGGCTAGTTGGGACAAAATAAATTGACCAAAATAATTTGCAGAATGATTTCAGTGGAATTACATTGTCGACATTCCTTATATGCTTCAAATCCTCGTCAGTATTATCAGTGTCAACAGAACTCTTAAGAATGATGGCATTATCTTTCTAATAGTTCTCATAACTATTATAACATGGGATCCAACAGAAGTGTGAATAGTTATCAAATCCGTCTTTTAGTATATTATTCATGTCAGCTACTTATATTGTATAATACTTGGATTTTAAAATTAATCCAGTCGACGAATATCACCAAAGATTATCATTATCATCATCATCATCCTATCAGTCGTATACGCCGACAGATATTGGAATCGTCAAGTGGAAAGGCATCAGAAGTAGCAGCCTTGAAGGCTACAATAGCTACAATAGATGGCAGTGAATTAACTCAAATCAGTTATCAGTGTATTGTATATGATGAAACACCCGCGAATAGGATCCTTCTAGATGAGATAACCACAAATACATGTCAACTGTTGTCTAGGCAACAAATTATACAGCTAAAACTACAAAAAATTCAATTATTTAATATAAAAGTTATTACAACAGCTAACCCATTGGCGAAATATCTGAAAATTGATGCAAATAATTATACCCTGATGACTGTACAACATGTTGACAGAGAGGAATTATGCAGTAGTAATTCTCTGACAGACACCCAACTGACTACATCGTTAGATTCACTAAGAGTCTGTTGTATAAATCGTATGAAGGAGTGTATATTTCCCCTGAATATACTTGTACAGATAGGTATTGGCAAAGAAGATATTACTGGTATCCTTGGTACAGATACTACTACTACTCTTAGTAATACTACAAGTACCACTACTACTACCACTACAAGTAGCAGTAGTATAAATAGTTTACGCTCAAAATTTTTTACACTCCAAATTAAATTAATTGATATCAATGATAATCCCCCGAAATTTCCAAATTCTTTGCATACAGTACATATTTCTGAAGGCATACACATTGGATCACGTCTCCCATTACCATTGGCTGAGGATTTAGATTCTTTAGATTATAATATTGTTCGGTAAGTCCCTTACGTGCCTTTCTTATTGTTATGTAATTCGTCTGACATTCTGTTTTCCAACACGTTTGTGTGTATGAGTGTAGAAGTACGAGCGTTTCTCCTAATCAGGAAAACGTTCCATTATCAAACTAGTTATCAGGGTCAGATATCACCTATGTTTACTAATTCGCCTCATGATAATCGATTACAACGTTATACTGATAAAAAAAGGAATGGATAAAATCATCATTCAAATGGCTGTAGCTCTTAGTACATTACGCTTCGATTATGTGGTGGGCCGGAAACTCTTAATATTGAGCACACAGAGAATGCAGGATAAAAGGAGTTCCTTTTACAAAAATATTTTCTAAAAACTTCATGCAATTCTTCCCATTAAAAAACTTGAACAAAGCAAGAACAACAATCGTACCAGAAGATAATATGAGCTCATCGCTTTTTATTATTTCGAGGATTCTTCTCAACTGGTTACAACCTGAACCTTAAACAAATATGAATTACATCCAAGATTTGAACATACTTTTCTACGATCACAAGGAGTAATTGGTAGGAATTAAAAGTAACATTAGTCCGGAATGATTTACCTGATTAGGAGTTACAAACACTGACTATTTATAGAATAATTAGACAATTAGGCTTGGAAGCAAAAAGACAGGAGTGTGTATATATATGTGTGTATACGAAAATAAGGTTTAGCTAGAAAGAACATACCCACCTCATGCTACTTCCAACTGTGTCTACCAATTTACATGTACGTGCCGAAGCATATACATTGGAAAAACAGAGAGAAGGGTTAGTGTCCGCATTTATGAACACATACTAAAGAACTTGAGACTGAAAGGTCCGAAAGCATTAAACAGTGCGATTGCCCGTCATCTATTGGACACTTGTCATATTGTAGACAACCTGAAGTTGTTCAGAATAATTAACAAGCAAAAGAAACCTAGGTTGGTACGCTTTTCTGAAGTAATTGCCATCAAACGACTTTAACCACCAAATCTATGTACACAGAAAGAGACAGTGGTGAATCTTGCACTGCCCTGGTGATAACAAGAAATATATACAATTTTCAAGTATCGGTTTTGTAGGGATTTTGTTTGATTGCATGGAGGATTTAATCATGAGCTGACATCAGTTAGAGAATCACTGGAAAACCTGGGAGTACTGGACATCTGTTTCGTCTTAGTTTGGGACTCTTCATCAGTACGCAGCCACCGGGAATCGAACCCAGGACCTTCTGGTTACAAGGGGAGCTCGTAGACCATTGAGCCAATACTTGAAAAACTCCTAATCAGTTGAATCATTCCGGACTAATGTTACTTTTAATTCCTACCAATTACTCCTTGTGATCGTAGAAAAGTATGTTCAAATCTTGGATGTAATTCATATTTGTTTAAGGTTCAGGTTGTAACCAGTTGAGAAGAATCCTCGAAATAATAAAAAGCGATGAGCTCATATCATCTTCTGGTACGATTGTTGTTCTTGCTTTGTTCAAAAAATATTTTCTTTGGTTTTTCATTAGCTGCCAATAGCCTAAATATGACATAAATTAGCACAAATACAAAATTCAAAAAGCATTTCAACTTAACGTGTATAGTTGTGGAATAAGAGATAGGTAGTCGTCTAGCTGAAATCAATCCGTGGGGTAAACTTGAGAACAAATCAGACTCCTTCAAAAACTAACTTTTCAAAATAAAATCTGATATTCTTCAGGGACTGGCTACAAACCGAAGTTCACCCGAATTCTAGTGGTAAGTCATGACTAGTATGAGCTATGCGTTCGGCAGAGGACAATAGTACTCACTGATGGCATTGGCTCATGGTCACGCTAAGAACATCAATTGTGGTAGACGTTAGAATTTGTCGGCTGAAGATTAACGAGGGTTTCAAATGACTGAGTGATTTACACGCTTGCCTTGTAACCGGATGGTCCTGTGGCGACTGCATACTCCTGAAGAGTCGGAAACTGAGGCGAAATGCCTATATGAAAGTACACTCCCTTCTTCTCAGTGGTTTTCCTTTACTCATGTAAATTCGTTATCTAACAAGTTCATTTTATTTATGCATAATTTGATGGGAGACTGGAATAGAGAGATGGTGGGAGCGGCAAGAATTAGTAGACAGAATTGAAATTATTGCGTAATCAAATAATAATTAAGTAAATGGAATGATGAATAATAAGTTGAGCTTATTATTATTGTTCTCTTGGGTTCCTGGTGGAACATAGGGCTTCAACTGCACGTATCCACTTGATTCTGTCATCTGATGTACTTTTCACCTTCATCCATGCTAGTTCATACTGTTTTGAATCCTCTACACACAATCTCCTCCATGTCACCCTTGCACTGACGTCCCACTCGCCACCGCTTCCCTTTCGGCCAGATTCCGCTCGAGCAATGGCCTGACGCAAGCGCGATGTCACCTAGCGGCCTCCTCAGTGAGTGTCCAATCCATCTCCACTTTCTCCTGCATATTTGTTGGTTGGCGATTGGTTCTTGTTTTGTTTGTTTCCATAGTTTCCCGAAGTTGGTGATTCTTTCCGGCCCGGCCGGCCATCTGATCTTCAGTATAGAGCCAGCGAAGACAGTTGTTCATAAAGGTAATGTCTGCAACAGGCTATTGGAAATATTCTTTGTGACCCACCCGCCAAGTTTCTGATCCGTATAGAAAGAAGAACTGACTTGACGTTTGTATTGAAAATCCGAATTTCGATGTTGATACTGAGTGACGAAGATTTCCAAATTGGTTTCAAGTTGATGAATGTGTTTCTCGCCTTCCCGATTCTCGCTGGATTTGACATCTTCGTCCAGTCCGACCGCCTGTAGTTGAGGCAATGATGCCTAGATAGTTGAGCTTACTGAATTGTATTCGAAATAAGCATGCCGATTCAACATAAACACAGTAGACACGTCTAGTTACCAGAGTAGTACGAGATTAGTCACCTTCACTATCTGTCTGTCTGTCTTTCTGTATACACAGTTCAAGTTCGGAATCGTTTGATAGTATTAACTTCTGTGGAATGACGTAGCAAGGGTTTTCTCTGTATATGCAGATTATTACTTCACTTTTATATAAAATATGAACCAGTCTAGCAACTGGAAATATCCTTTTTTGATATCTTCTTTCCCTACCACTTGTTCCACATCAATGGCATTTGAGACGGAATAGTTTTTGAAGTGTGCCACACATACTTTTTGCTTGCATTCATTATTAACTTATGTCATATTTAGACTATTCGCAGCTGATGAGAAGTCGTAAGAGAAAAAACACGTGACCACATTTTAATCCCGTAAGTATGTTCTCTGCCTCCCTCCCTCTCTCGCTCTTCGTGTGTTAGTTCAAATTAGTCAAAGGAACTGGTTATATGAAATTCTCATATATTGAGTCACAGAAAAATAAAGACAAACTGGTTAGCACTCACGAGGTGCGCAACATAGATGGTATTGCAATGGAGACCAAGTCTGAAATTAAATACATAGGTGTCATTCTATCTGCTGATCTTTCCTGGTCGTCTCATGTCTTGATGATTTCTAAGAAAATATTCCGTCTCACCTTCTACATCAAGAATTTAAGACATTCTGGAATAACCCAACCCTTACTCTTACAGTTCGTTAACTATTGCATCCTGCCTATTATTCTGTATTGTTTTCAGGGCTACTGAAGAAAGACTATACCTTATTACGTAGAATGTTAAAGGTTGTCAGCAGGGTAAGCAACGTGCCACTTAACCAGCTTGTTAATATTCTGGTCGACAGGCACATGGACTCATGTGAAAAATGGGCTAAATCCATTCTATCTAACTCACACCACCCTCTTCACTCACATCTCTCCCCTTGTATCTCATCAGGCCAGACCAGACCAGGAGCCTACATAGAAAACTATATGCTCGCACTAGCAAGTACAAAAACTTAATCATACTTTACTTGGCTCGTGTTCGGTGCGATAAAGAAAGCATTAGGCGTGAAACTTATAACTTATTAAATAGTCAGTAGAACAAATGGATCTCGTCTTTCCACTTCATATCTTTTATGAGTACAACGTTTTCTTTCTTTCTTTTCCTTTTCTCTCTTTTTTTCTGTTATATGCTCCTTTGTTTCTTTCTTCTGCTTACGCCAGCAAATATGCTACTAACTACTTTTCTAACACCTTCAAACACTCTGTTCAATTTTGGCTTTGCTACCGACATGCTAATATGTTGTTGTCAAAACTAACTGAGATTACCCTTAATCTATGTAGAATTTTATTTATTGTTAATGTAATAACTAGATGCAATACTGTAGTAAAATGCTGAGAATTCCATTCTGTATCACAAGTACTGTTTTGGAATAAATCAAATTATTATTAATATTATTAACAAGGGAGGAAAATATTTCTTCACGCCAAATCATTTCCCAAAGCAACTATCTAATCCCATTTATATTTAACAGATAAATTCAAATATTTATTTATTTTGTATTATTATGATCCCTTTGAGCAGAAAGTGGAACAAAGGGCTTGAACAGCCCATCTCGGTATCATACTGTCCATTAAGGTCTTCTTTGCCTAACCTCACAATCATCCACACAAGCTTTTATCTCCTCATTAATACGATCTGCTTTATGTTAGCCTAGGACGAAAGCTGAACACTTCATTTCTCATTTAGGGTCCCACGTAAACGATGAACTGGTACGTACGTAATGTCACCCAGTAGTTTCCTCCAACGCGTGTCTGTTTCATATCTAATCTAATATGTACTTGTAACTGTATACTGGAATATGTATGTTGTGGAATTACTTTTATTCCTTCACATTCCCAGTGGAACATTGGGCTACTTCAAGCTAAGGGCTTGAAGTTTCGATAGTAGTAGTGGTATTTATTCTTCTATGGGATGGGATTGATAGCCTCAAGCCCAGCGCAACCTTCCCTCATTACCAGTTTGATTACTGGCTGAGTGAGGTAAAGGAGTGTGTTCCTTGGACGGGAATTGAAACCCGGACCATATGGGTTGGGGTTGGCAAGCATTC